CCACCTCTGCATCACACAGGGCCCAATAGGAGCCTGGCGCTGTATCAGCAAGTTTTGTTCCCGTCTCTCCCGGTGAATCATCAACCAACCCTATTTGCCGCAGTTTTATTTACTAAAGTTAAGATAAAACCTACCATATGAGCTCATAGTGAGGTTGTTTGTCCCTGTTATTGATTGAATTGTCTCTGTTTTATTGGAATTTACTGCATATTCTACATATTAATTCATGTACGTATGTGTGCCTGCATTGCTTGGACATGGTAGATTAAAATAACAAAACAAAACTAGCCACCCCCCAAAAATATATTTGACAACAGCATGGTAAAACTGGAATTTCTGTTTTTGGTGTGGCACCCCAGTATTTTTAGTGGCCCCCTATGAAAAAATTCTGGAGGTGCCCCTGTATGAGACTCCATCAGTCCCACAAATATGACGATTGGCTACATTTGCAAAACAGACTGTTTTGTACCACTGTGTTTAGTCACTGTAACATTAAAAAAACACTCTACTGCCATGAGATCAATACATTTCTTCTGTTTCTCCAGCTTCCTCAAACAGTCCAAAGACATGCATGTTAGGTTAGCTGATGATTTTAAAGCAGCTGGATGTAAGGTATATGGAGAGTGCAGAGCAAATCTTTGTCATGCCAAGAAGAAGCCATATGTGATCATATTATTGTGTTACAGCAGCGGGATAAAGAATAAATAGTGCAGTCTACAATAAATAAAGAACAAAGTTAAAGTGCCACAGGCGCATAGTGACGGCCTCTGAGATAATGGAAAATGTTTACATATATAACAGTGATTAAAAAACGAAAAAAGAAAATAAGAATAAAAAAAATTAGGTTAAGTTAAAGTAGAGTAAATAGTGAGACTGAGATTGTAAAAGAGAGTAGTGTGATTTGCATTAATAAATAATACGTGCACTACAAATGTAAGAAACAGCTGGGAGGAAGGTACAGTATTAGTCTACCGGTGGGCGGTAATGTTTACCAATCACAAAGAAGAAAAAAAAAGCCGAAGAAGAGTCGTCTCCCGGTAGCCCGTTGCTAACTCGGTTTCCATGGAGATTGGTTTCAGTTTCCCGGATGTTCTAGTTTCCTCTGTTCAACATGGCGTCGGGAAAGTAAGACTTCGGCTAATATCACACAGTTTGCCCTGAAGTTAGTCCGCTCCCGCCCTTCTGATTTTTGGAGAGTTTCCAAATACGTCGCGGGGTCGGCAGAAAAAGTTTTCCTGGGACATCCCTGGTGAGTATCCCCGCGTGGCTCTGACTTCGGTTACCGGACCGTGCTGTGGGTTAGCTTGTGGCGCGTCTCCGCTCCCCGCTGAGCCGCTAACGGAGGCTAGCGTTAGCTGCGCTCTGGTCGGTCCGTCCAGTCCGGGTGTGAGGATACCGGAGCAGCCTCCTTGAGTCTGCTCTCCTTGTGTTTGTGTGTTAGCTGATGAATCACTCAAAGCGTAGACTAAAGCGAATCGTGTCTGAGCTGTGGAAAAAAAATCTGAGGGCCACTTGTGAAAGTTGTTAAACAATTAAAATGTGAAGCTAACTTTAGGTTCAAACTGTCTTCCTTTTGCTAAGATCTCATAAGCTCACAGGATGGCTCATTTGCACACTCAGGAGACAAACGGGTTCTGGTAACTCTGAGTCTGCTAGTCTGCTTTCCGATAAGTTCAGCTGGTTCCTGATAATCAGGATCACGGTGAACTTCCGTTTTCACCTGTGAAGGAGGACTGAGTTGTTTGTGTGGGCAGGCTAAAGCAGGAAAAGAGGATATTAAGCTGCTCCTTCTCTCTCTGTCGTGCATGAATGAATTCTCCTTTTTAGTCTCTTTTCCCCCCTCCCGCTTCTTTTCCTCTTGGCTGGCGGATGTCATGTTATGGATTGCATTTGTGTTGTGCTTCATGAGTGTGCAGTAAGAGGAAAGGGGGGTTTGTGTTTGTAAGGTCGTGCGGTTGGTGCTGGGCACACCATACATTCCTGGGATGCCAGAGAAGCTGTATGAAAGGGTCATTCCTCTCTCTCACATATGCACCATTCCCAAACAGCAGCGGGAGCATCTACATCATATATGGCAAAATATTCATCAGGAATATTCACGTGTTAAGTTGCGAGATGGGATGCAGCTGCAAGACAGCTGATATCCATCTACTAGTAAGTAAGATAAACAGTTAAGTTTATCTGCTGGAGAGTTCAAAGGCAGTGTAATGAAAAGGTGAAAGTCTTTTAAAAAGATGTTAGTGTTTATAGCACAGAAGTGGGAACAGATAACAAGAAAAGTACATTTAAGTAAACTGTGGGTACATGAGGATAGGATTTAGGCCAAAGTCTTTTAACAGTATCAGCTCAGAATTTCACAATCAGTACAGCCATATTGAAAAGTTATATTTTTGTTAGATAGTTGCTAACTGACTAATATCTGTAATTACGACAACTACTACAACTAATGTAATTACAACTAATATCTAAATTACAGCCTCAACTGAATCTGAAAGAAACAAATGGGAAGTTTACTGGAAAAAATTGGAAATGTGTGTGTTTTCTTTGAGTGATTGTTCATTGTGAACAAAAAACACAGCATATGTGCTGAATATGAATCTAACAGTGTTGAGATAACATGGTTTTAAAATACCTTGTTAGGTCCCTGATAATTTTAAAATTATACAAACCAAAGCCCAAAGGGACAGGTGAAAGGAAGTAATTAGCTTTTCTAGCAGAAAATGTTTAAGTTCTGTTTACTTTTTCGGGTTTCCAGAACAGCTTTAATAAAAAGCATCTTCTTCTGTCTGCTGCTAGTTGTAGAAACATTGGAATTGTCTGCTCTGTGGTGAAAAACGAGGAGCCAACTG